CCCCCTCCGCCATAAAAATACGGCACCGCAGCTCCCTGGCCCCCTCTCAATCCCTCACAGAAATCCCTGGGGCGAGCTGCTGTTGATGGGTGCCCGAGAGGAGAGATTTTTTTTCAAAACTGTACTGTAATTAGCATTCCCTCAGCATCTTGGAACGCCATGCCGTAGAACAGTTTACCAGCTGAGGAGAATATCTGTGCAGCCTAACTAGTTATTGTGTCTTGGAATTATTACATTTTTTTCCCCTCTCTTTTTCCGGAAAAAAAAAACTGGCTTGGATGGTTCACCCGTTTCGGTTGGTGGCTCTGAAAAAGCTAAGCAGAGTGAGACCTGGGGCCTTTTCCTGCTCTTCAGTTACAATAGGTCCCTTATAAAGGACAGCCCTTTATTTCAGAAAGGTGTCCTTTAGATTTATTCAATGTAATTATTTTCTTGGTTTTGCTCTTGAATTTTCCTTCATAAAGTGAAGTTATAAACTTTTTTTTTATCCTGATGAGCCTCTTTCAGATTTTCCCCCTTTTCAGGTTTGTCCTTTATTTTTTCCAAGAAAATAGAGTCACTGTAGTTATAGTACTATTTACCCACCCTTTAAATAGCAGAAAACTACACCAGCATGAAATTGGTGCCTCCTGTTCCTGATCTCTATCCTGCTTCTGTTCCAAGTCACTGCCAGTCGCTTGACTTCTCTCCAAGGTCATGGAAGATTGTGCACACCTCACGGATATCCTATATCCTTAACCACGTTAGAATAAGGGGGAAATGTTACTTGTAGCGCTAGAGCAACTGAGGATTACTTTCCTCTATCTCACTCATGGGCTGAGGACATGATGAAGGGAATGTCATGCAGACACAGCAGGAAGAAAATGGAGTTAAGTGCAAGTGGGGAAAAGATTTTGATCAATACTTAGCTGGGAGACCACCAGGACTACAGGCTACACCAGGAAAGCGATACCACCTACAGAAGCAACAGGAAACCATTTTTGTAATGTTGCCCCCAAAAAAACAAAAAACCCTACACTGACATGTCCATGAAGGAGTTGAGCTCCACTCAAAGGAGATTTCATTCTTTGTTATCCTGAAAAGGATTCCCTGAGGGAGAAATGCCAAACTCTTTCTTATGTTGAGTGTCTTCAAATCAGGAAGGGGGCCATTGTTCCAAAAAAAGTAAACTTATTTTCTAGGTGCTTTCCTATAGAAGTCTCCAAATCTATAAAACAAAACATTTCTTGTCATTTCTGATCAACTCTACAACAAAGATGAAATGGGGGTGTTACCAGTGACTTTCACCCCTTAAACACTGATAAGACTTTTAAGCAGCCAATTGTTTTCATTTATTGTTATATTTTTACTACTAACAAGACAGATCTGGGGCTAGGTTGGTACTTAAATTGCCAGAAATCATGCACTTTATTTTGGAAGGAAGTATCACTTCCAGGAAAGGCTCACTCCACAGTGCCAGAATTCTGCTTTTGTCAATGAAGTAAAAAAGAAAAATAATCTTTTCTACCCAGTTTTTAAAATTTATTTAAGGATTTATAAACCACCTTCCAACACTGTTTATAGAGCAATTACCAGAAAAATAGTAACATTACAATATCATAAAATAGAAGTAGTAATAAAACATCAATTACAAAATCTAAAATTCAGATAACAAAAGTTCTGTGCCTAGACTTTTTCTAATAAGTATACAGGAGAATTGTTCTGCTTTATAGGAGAAGGAGCAATGCTACTGACATTTATAATTGCTAATAATATTTAGTTACAATTAACCTTGATTATATTTAACCTGTTGCCAATTTGTAACCTTACTGTTAAGGACAATAATTAATTGGTTAATGTGTTCAAAGATGGAGGGTTACACAACTTGTGAGGTACCAAATTAAGCACAGTTGATGGACCAAATTAAGCACATGCCTGCCCAATGCTTGTTAATTCCCATTTTTAGTCAAACAGGACAAAAGATTCTATTAAATTTACCAAACTCAGAGTGGAGTGCATATCAGAACAAATTATGTTTCATTCTTACGAGAACAGCCTCGCAGGGACCGCATTTGAAAAAATGAGCTGAAAATATATATAATTATATAAATGTGAAGCCTAATTTTCAGGGGGTTCCCACATGAAAATAAACAATGAAAAATAATATTAAAATGCCACAATATAAAACTCACCCATAATTTAGCATTTTAGAAAGTCTAAGTATTCTAATCCTGCACTAGGAAGAGTTTAAAGCCAGAACAATAAGTTAAACCCAGAAACAAGCACTCAGTTGATATAGACAGAAACCCAGTTCCAGATAACACCTTCACAACCATATCCCACAAATAATTGCAGTTGCCAAAGTATCTTGAAATGCATTTCTTGTATTAACACCTTACAGTAGTCTATTCTAGAATTTACCAGATCATAAATCAATGAAGTGGGCTATTTATCCTCTGATAAATTCTGGACTAGACCACTGTAATCTAGATTTAGAGTAGTAATTCTACTATACACCACTTTAAACTGGCAAAAAATGCTGATTACCAGAGAGCCAATCTGTATCTCCAAGGTCAAAAAAGGATCAATACAGTCTTCTAGACTTGGTTTTCAGAAGAATGCAGTTCCATGTGGAGGACTGATGCTAAATCTGGTCAGAATCCACATTTTTGGATTGTGTTTCCGTTTATTGATTTTATTATCCACCACCATTCAGTGGTTTAATACAGTCATTTATCACATCTGAATCAACTGAAAAGAAAAGTACATTTGGGTGTTACCAACATATCAATGATACCTCCTCCACAACTTCAAGTGATCCTACTGAGCAGTTCCATGTAGATTTTTTGAAAAGTCATGAGAGATAAAGCAACCGATCCCTTAAGGTAGGTAGCAGAGTTGAGCTGTAACCTACAGGATCACTTCTGCCTGTACATTGAAAATTAAGTTCCATCCTGTTCAGTGCTGCTGACTTCTACATCACAGGATAAAAGACAGTAACTTGGGCAGTTCCCTGATGCTTATCTCTGAGACAATATTGTGCCGCAAGCTTTTTGTTACTGCAACGAAGTGGATGAGGGTCTTTCTCCGGAGTAAGGGATACACATTGTTATTCACTAAAAGAGGAATTTGAGATGCCAGGCAACCTTAAAGTGACCTATTGCTCTCGACTACATAATTGTATTAAAACCATCTTTGCTTCCTGTTCATCATTTGGTTTAGGTCTTTTATCCCGTTGCCAAAATGATCCAAGGAAGTTCTTCAGCCTTTTATTGACTCTCGCTGCTTTTTTGCCGAGACTTCATTTCCCAAACTGACTCTTAGCAGAGAAGCCGCGTGGATGAGTACAGAGTTGTGATTGGACAAAATATCCGACATCGTTTGTCTCCTTTCTCCGGATTGGAGGACGTTCGCAGCTTGTTGTTTGATTTTTGGTTTTTCCGTTGAGACCAGCAGGAGCAGCGGCATGAACGCGAGAGTTAGCAGCGCGTAGGAGAAAAGTACAAATTTCTGGTTCTGGATGGGACCGAGAAGGGTGTGTCACGGGGTTGCACGACGTTCTGGTAGGATAAGGGGAAAATACTGTAGCTTCTGGTTGCTTTCATACTTTTTGACATTAAACCAGAAGTGTCCCATTCAGATGTTTGGGAGACCCAGGCTCTCTCCATCAAGTAGGCTATACCCGCTTCATTTTTGTTTCCAGTTCTTAGTAAGGAGGCTACGTGGAAGCCCGCACTAGTGCAGTAGATAGGATGTGGGATTTGAGCTTGGGGAGAATGGGAGTTAGATCCCTTTTCAGCTGTGTAGTAACCTTCCCTCAGATAGCCAAACTCACAGAGTTACTGGGTGAAAATGCAAACATTTGCTCACTTTTCAGAAGCAACTCGCTAGCCCTGAATCTTCCCTTACCTGCTGAACTTAAACTTCCTGTCAGCCCTCACCTCACTTCTGCTTGTCTTGAATATAACTGCCATTTTTTCCAATTGCCACTATGGGCTTTGTTTATACAACATGCTAAACTATAAACTAGATAACCATATTTTAGCATGTGATGCAAGCCTTATCCACAGGTAGCTTATAATCCAGTATGTGGTAGGATCCCAGAAAATTAGGTTGAGTAAACCATAGTTAAATACAGGATACAGTGTTGTCTCAACATGGCTTCATACATAGACTGATATATGGGCCCCCAACTTTTTTAGGCAAATGGACATATTTAGAATTTTGAGATGCAATAATTAAATATGTATTTTTGTGTATGAAATTTCTTATATTTATTTTGCAGTGTATTCATTGAAAAACTGTGCTTGCACTTACATAATGTTGTACTACACTGCATTGATGAGGAATTGGCTTTATGCACCAAGATATTCTTATTTAATATGTTCTAGACTTGAAATGTTGCATTTAAAAGTGGGCTAAATGAACCCTACAGACTCTGACAGAAACTATTAAGTGGATTAAGAGAAGGTGGTAGGTGTGTGTGTTGAATGACTGAGTTTCATTGAAGAACTACCCAAGCTGAAAAGAGGAACTAAATTTAATTGGAATAAAAACAAAAATTTACAATTTGAATAGTAAATATGAATTGAAAATAAAGAACTCACTTGAGTCGAGTTCTGAAATTATGATAAAGATTCTGGAGGATTTGTTTTTAATGATTGGAGCATTATAATGAAATTAAATATTAATGGAGGAACTATGTAGTATATAACATAAACATTACTGTCATATCCACATTGTTTAAATTGAGTTCTGAAATTATGATAAAGATTCTGGAGGATTTGTTTTTAATGATTGGAGCATTATAATGAAATTAAATATTAATGGAGGAACTATGTAGTATATAACATAAACATTACTGTCATATCCACATTGTTTAAATTGAGTTCTGAAATTATGATAAAGATTCTGGAGGATTTGTTTTTAATGATTGGAGCATTATAATGAAATTAAATATTAATGGAGGAACTATGTAGTATATAACATAAACATTACTGTCATATCCACATTGTTTAAATTATTGTTGCTTAATCACAATAAGCCACAACTGATTCAGTCCACAAAAGACTTTCATCCATAAACTATGGCTTACAAACTGCAATACTAAATGCTAAAACAAAACAAAC